CAGACCCATCCCCGGACGCCGATCCAGAAAACAACGAGTTGATTCGACTGTCTCCCTTTATCCGCTCGAAAGTCCTCTCCCACGGAACATTCGGTGTCTCGCACACTCGCGTCCCAACCGAATCACGGCCGGGCCATGTTGCGCTTATCGCAGGCCTCTATGAGGATGTGTCCGCTGTCACCACGGGGTGGAAGCTGAACCCTGTGAATTTTGACAGCGTGTTCAACAAGAGCCGACACACTTGGAGCTGGGGCAGTCCTGATATTCTGCCGATGTTCAAGGAGGGCGCCGTGCCCGGTAGGGTCGATGCGGAGATGTACAGCGAAGAAGCGGAGGACTTCACTGTCGATGCGACGCACCTGGATACGTGGGTCTTCTCCAAGGTCCATGACCTCTTTGAATCGGCAAAGACTGACCCGGAATTGGACCGGAAACTGCGGGACGACAAATTGGTGTTCTTCCTCCACCTGCTGGGACTGGATACAACTGGTCACTCTTTCCGTCCTTACTCGAACGAGTACCTACACAACATCAAGGTGGTGGATCAAGGAGTCCAGGCCGTCACAAAGTTAGTAGAGGATTTCTACGGAGATGATAAAACGGCGTTCGTGTTCACCGCAGACCATGGTATGAGTGACACGGGCAGCCATGGTGACGGTCATCCGGACAACACGCGGACACCGTTGGTTGCCTGGGGTTCTGGTGTCGCGCGGCCCCAGCTCTCCGCTGGCGGAATTGCCGCGGGTCATGAAGATGGTTTCTCGGCTGATTGGGGATTCGACCAGGTTCGCCGACACGATGTAGCACAGGCCGATGTTGCCGCGCTCATGGCCTACCTAGTGGGTCTTGACTTCCCCGTCAACTCTGTCGGTCAATTGCCGCTGGACTACCTCAATGCGAGCCCCAAAGAAAAGGCGTTGGCCGCTCTCGCCAACACGCAGGCGGTTCTCGAGATGTACCGCGTCAAAGAAGAGCAAAAGAGAGACGCGGTGATCCGATATGTGCCTTATGAGCCTCTATCGGGCTACCACGAGAACTCGATTGAAGGCAGACTAGCAAGAATCGAGGCACTCATCTCCAGCGGTGACCACGAGGAAGCTATTGCAGCGTCTGCCGAGCTTCTTCGTGTTGCTCTTGAGGGTTTGCGCTACCTACAAACCTATGACTGGCTATTCTTGCGGACCATTGTCTCTGTTGGATACCTGGGTTGGATCGCGTATGCGCTGACCACGGTTATTGATCTGCACGTCCTGCATGGATCGTCAGACTCCCACCGGACGACAGCGAGTATCTCATTCTTCTCGTCTATCCTGGTCGCCTTGTTCTCAGTGTTCCTTTGCCAGGGCTCATCCTGGCGCTACTACTTCTATGCATTCTTCCCGGTTTATTTCTGGGAAGAGGTTTTTGCACGCCGCAAGGCTCTGATTGCCGGTCGTCAAATTGTATTGGGCCATGTGCGCTCCTTCACTGGATACCTCAAGTTTGGACTCCAGCTACTGGTGTTCCTCGGTGTGATGGAGGCAATGGTTCAATCATATTTCCATCGCGAAATCTTCACCGTCTGCTTTGCCCTGGGTGCATTGTGGCCTGTTATTCATGGCTTTAGCTTCATTCGCAGTCATGCGTTATTGTCTGCGACTTGGGCTCTTGGCTGCGGTTTGATGAGTTCTTTCACCCTTCTGCCAGTAATCAAGGTCGAAAACCTTGATACAATGTAAGATTCCTTTCCACAACAACAATTTCCACGTGGCTAATCTGTTCGCAGCACATATGGCGGTTTGCTCATGTTCCTCACTGGCATCTTGTATTTGCTGTTTGAGGATGCTATCATTGGACACCGTGACCCGGAATCCAAAGAACCAAATGCCATTGGTCGTATTGGCTCGCGGGTCATTATGGGAATTCAGCTCGGCATGGTCTTGCTTGCTGTCATCGTCACTAGATCATCTGTGATCTCTCTCCAGGCCCGCCAAGGCCTGCCTTTTGGAAATATTGTAGTTGGATGGGTTGTTCTAGGTAAGTTAACCGAGCAGTGTGTCCTAGGACCACACATTGTGTCTTCACCAAGAAATGCTAACCCAATCTCAGTGGCTTCCCTGACGCTTCCATTCTTCCACCGTCTGTATCCGAACAGTCACTATCTGCACCGTCTTATGATCATCTTCTTGACTTTCTCGCCAACTTTTATCATTCTCACAATCTCATGGGAAGGGTTGTTCTACTTTGTTTTCTGCATGACCATTGTGACATGGGTTCGCCTGGAACATGCCATTTATGTCCACGGCGCGGGCACCTTGAAGAAGCTTAATAACCCTGGCGTAACGACCGTCAACGGTGAAACTTTCTACTACCGTGCCCTTACTCTCTCCGACGTCCGCGTGGCACTCTTCTTCTTTTTCCTCCTGCAATCGGCGTTCTTTAGCACTGGCAATGTGGCGTCGATCTCGACCTTCTCCCTCGACAGCGTTCGCCGCCTTGTCCCCGTCTTTGATCCCTTCGCCCAGGGTGCACTGTTGATTCTCCAAATCCTCATCCCCTTCGCCATCATCAGTGCCAATCTAGGTATTCTTAACCGCCGCCTGGAGGTACCCCCAAGTGCGCTCTTCATGGTTGTTATGGCCATCTCAGACATCATGACCCTCAACTTCTTCTTCATGGTGCGTGACGAGGGCTCGTGGCTTGACATCGGCATGACCATTAGCCATTTCTGTATTGCAAGCGCCCTTTGCACCTTCGTGGCTGGTCTGGAATTCCTCAGCGAGCAATTTGTCAGCGGTGTGGACTTCGCCCCCACAGTGACAGCTGTTGGGGCTGCCGTGGTCCAGACTATCGAAGAAGTCACAGAGTGTGGCCACGAGGACCGCAAGGAGCCGAAGAAGCCCCAGTCCAATGGGTCCAAGCAGTCCAAACTCAAGTCCAAACTCAAGTCCAAGGGCAAGGGCAAGGGCAAATCAGGAAAGAATGGATGGTCGTAGTTGGATATGAAACTAGTATAATACACACATAGGGACCCTTTGCCCACATGCCATCACCGCCATCACCTGCATAGATCGGGCTATGTTCATCTTTAATTAGTCTTTCCCATGTATTTTATTTCATGCCCCGTCTGGCTATAGAAGGCACTAATTCAGAGAACCCTGCTTTATGAGATTTGAATTATATTCGCTACGATTTCACTTTGCATAAACTGTCCACGGGTGTCTCGTTAACGGGCTTCCATTTACTCCTGATCCGCAATTCTACAAATATCCAAGGCACAACCGTTTCTTCCCGGGGAAGCCCGGCGAACCTAATAAAAGAGTAAAGGAAATCACCTGCCTGACTGTGTGTTCTTTACGTGTTATCCCCTCGCATCTGAGAGTGGCGCAAACGGAAATAAACGGGGCTCTCTCATTGGTCGAAGCTCAAAGTTACCGAGGCATCACAAGCTTGCCCAGGCTCAGGTTTTGTCGCTCTGGAGAACATCCATATTGATTCTGTATGTTGTACGGAGTACCAAGTACGGAGTATGGAGTAGCTCAGATGAGATTTCCCCCCCGCAACTTCTTCCCTGGTCTTTTTCGTCCCCGTCTTTTCTTTTCTCCCCCGCAATCTCACCGTTTGACTTTGATGCTGAGTTTGGATCGGTTGTAACGATCTACATCTACACGGAGTACCTTTTAGATTAATATGTATGAAACAGAACACTAGCACATGTCATATCTTGTAAGAAGGAAAAACGAACACTTCAAGCTTACTAGTTTACCCTGGGAACCCCCTATACAAGTATACATTAAGCAGTGGCCAGTGGGCATCAGCAGGTCACACTGCATATACATCCGCACATCCCGCTAATATGGTCCATGTCCGAATATTGTCTCCGAGCTCAGCCCAGAGAGAAATTTCCGACATGGGAGTATACCCTGTCAACTTCCCTTCACCTCCACATCCTCCCGCGTGGCGGTAGGCTCTGGCCGTGGTCATTTTGACCAGGATTGGAGGCGTGGAGCTAATGCAGGATCTGGAGCCTTTCGCGTCATGGCCCAGAGACCCAAAGACCAATCTTTCAGTCGGGACGATCCCCCCGAGCCCGAATGGAGGCTGAAGCAATGGTATTTCCACGCGGTGGGCCTAATTAGGGTAGGCCGGTTTAGCGTCCGGGATGTCTGGAAAGGATTGGCAATTGGGGACTGAGGATTGGCACTTCAAGAGTTATACCGTATAGAGTATACTATTGTGCTTCTCCTAGGCTACTATTGTGCTTCTCCTAGGCTTCCTAATAGATAGAATATGTTGTACGGTGTTCCTGTTTACTACAAAGAAGCATTCCACCAGCTGCTACCTTCGGTCTTCCACCCCCATCCGTCGATCTCTCCATCTTTTTGTGGTCCCATTCCAACATGTTCCAACAGTGCATAACTATTATTTGGTGGCTTTTACATACACCCGTGGACCGCGTTAGCGCTTAGTCAATAAGGGTCCGGTGTGAACCCCTGCGCCATATGGGCTGTTTAGTACTGGGTTCTCAGGGTTACCTTTTACCCCTTTTCATCTTTTACATATATGTACTTAGTAGACAACGTGAAGGGCAAGAAATGGAAGGGAAATGATATGAAGAATATTTGATCTTATAATTTTATAAGAATCAAATATAAGTCTATATAAATTCCAATTGTAAATCCCAATGCATAACTATCAAATGCTGACCAAATAGGAACTCCACCAGGAAATTGATATTGCCACAACCAACTTCACCCCAACTTTGATATTCCTCCCTCTTCCCCCTCCCCCGGTACTTTTTCTTGCTGATTTTCTGTTCTATTTTCTTGGTCGCGTGGCGTCTTTGCCTTGTTCAAGATCCCCTTTCTTACCCTCTTTATTACTCTGTACCCCGTACGTACTCCCGTGGGCCTGGCACCCTTTATATCATATCGCTTCCCCTTCCCCTTCCCCTCCGAGTGCGCATCCTCCCCAATTCTCCGACTCGAGCCTGAATTCCTGGATGGAGAGATTGTGTGGCCATGAGTACCACTGAATTCCACACCGACCAGCTATCGGATAACCACACCAGCCCGGCTCCGAGCAACGCGGGCTCGACGGGGACTTCGGGCATTACGGTGCGCAATGGTCCACAAGGCCAACCGCTGAGTTTCAGAAGGTAAGCCAGTTCTTTTTGCTGTTCTGCTGTTCTGCTGTTTGGTTTTATTGGGATATTGCCGACATGATGTTCTGGTCTGATAAACGGATTTGTCGCGGGGGAAGTGTGCGGGCGCAAAGATGAGGGACAGGGTTTTTTCGGCTTTTCACTTCCCCTGTGCCTGAAGGGAAACTCTTCAAGTTAAGCATTTTTATACGCTTGCTAATTCTTTTTATCTAATCTTAGACAACGTGCATCACGCGCGTGCGAGGTACGTCTGGATTTTTAGGGAGACGCGACTCTGGGCCGAGGTTCTCAACGCACCTCGGCTCAGTTCCTTATCGCGATACATCCTCGATCCTTCCCCTTCTTGGATTTGAAAAAAAATGTAGCTGATGTTTTTCTTTTCGACTCAATTAGACATGTCATGCTCGCAAGGTGAGTTTGCTTTTGGTCGTCGTTTTTTCCCCTTCTAACCCTTCCCGTCGCCTAGGTTCGATGTGACGCAGCCAGTCTCGGGGTGCCTTGCACCAATTGTGTCGCTTTCTCCATCGAGTGCAAGATCCCGTCTCCGAAACGAAAGAAGAACAATCAAAACAAGAACAAGGAAGATACTCGGTATGATGACAGTCCACCGCAAACTGCCTCCTCGATCGTCGACGCTGCAGTTGCCCATTTCCGACCCACGAGCACCGAGGCAGCGGATGCCGCATCTGGCTCGGTCTCTGCGTCCAGGGAAAAGGACAAAAATTCGGACTCGGATGAAAAGAGCAATGCCTTTGGATACCGGAACAACCTCATGGGCGTCGACGGCATGCCTAATACTTCCCTTTCCGAGGCTGAGGCCGCCCAGCAAGCTTCAGCCAACAACGCCTATGCCCAATTCATGAAGCCGAAGTTTGCTCGTGCTCCGATAAAAGAGGCCGGCCGAGTGGCGTACTTGGGCGAGTCGTCGAATCTGTCTCTCCTGGTTCAAGACCGCCATGGAACAGCAGATGTCGTGCACTACCCACTCCCACCGAATGTTAGAGGATCCCGCGCCCGATTGACGGACCTAGACAATTTGGAAATTGATATCTTGCACCAGCGGGGGGCGTTCCTGCTCCCGCCCAAACCGCTGTGTGATGAATTGGTCGACGCCTATTTCAAATGGGTGGCTCCCGTCGTGCCGATTATCAACAAGAGCCGCTTCATGCGTCACTACCGTGACCCCAAAAACCCGCCATCGTTGCTACTGCTGCAGGCGATTCTGCTGGCAGGATCGAGAGTCTGCACTAACCAGCAGCTTATGGATGCGAATGGCTCGACAACCCCTGCGGCTATGACCTTTTATAAGCGTGCTAAGGCGCTTTATGATGCTAACTATGAGGATGACCGTGTCACAATCGTGCAGGCGTTAGTGCTTTTGGGTTGGTACTGGGAGGGACCGGAAGGTAAGTTCACAATCTATACCAATCTATCCTAATGAATTTTCTGACTAGTCACAGACGTCACCAAGAACGTCTTCTACTGGACACGGGTCGCTATGGTGGTAGCGCAGGGCTCTGGAATGCACCGCAGCGTCGAAATGTCCCAACTTAACAAACCAGACAAAAGACTCTGGAAAAGAATCTGGTGGACCTTGTTCACCCGGGATCGCTCTGTCGCTGTTGCACTGGGACGGCCCATTGGGATCAATACAGATGACTCAGATGTAGAGATGGTGACGGAAGACGATTTCATCGAGGATGAGCTCGACATTGTCGCCGAATACCCAGCAGACCCTGTCCATGTCCAGTTCTTCCTGCAGTATGTCAAGCTGTGCGAGATCATGGGCTTGGTTCTGTCCCAGCAGTACTCTGTGGCTTCAAAGTCACGGCGAATGAATGCAATGGATCTCACCCACTCGGATATGGCCCTCGCCGATTGGCTGCAGAACTGCCCCAAAGAAGTATGCTGGCAACGCTCTCGGCATCATTTCTGGGCGGCTCTCTTGCACTCAAATTACTACACCACGCTCTGTCTTCTCCACAGGGCTCACATGCCGCCTGCCTCATCCGCACCCAATAACTACAGGGTCGAAGAAATGGCTTATCCATCGCGAACAATTGCCTTCCAAGCTGCAGGCATGATTACCTCTATTGTTGAGAACCTACAGGCGCACGGGGAGATCCGGTACACTCCTGCTTTCATTGTCTACAGTCTATTCTCCGCCTTGATCATGCACGTTTACCAAATGCGTTCCTCGGTTCCTTCAATTGTGGCCACCTGCCAGGAAAGAATCAATGTTTGCATGCTAGCCCTCAAGGATGTATCAAAGGTCTGGCTGGTAGCGAAGATGGTGAACACGCTATTCGAGTCTATCCTCGGAAACAAAGTGTTGGAAGAACGACTCCAGAAGGCTGCAGGCCGGAGACATCAGCGCACGCGCCACGGAGAATCATCTTCCTCAAAGAGGCATGACCCCCCGAAGCGCAAATTTGATGACATGGATATCGGCATGCCAAATGGTGGCGGGCCTACACCCCCTGTCTCATACGAGCGCTCCCGGCCCCAGACACCTGCTGTCACACCCTCCCGGGAATTGAACCAACCCCTTCCCGGCCAACAATCACCAAACGCTCACCGCGGTCCTCACGATCCAATGACTGGCACGGGTAATTCCCGAGCCAACACCAGGCCTACCACACCGTTCAACGGCCAATTCTCTCTCCTGCTACACCCCCCGACTTCTTCCTAGTAACCCGCACCTCTCCCAACCTCTCCCCCTCCCTCTGGGAGAACTTCCAGCCCGACCAGCTCTTCCCAGACGGTACCGCCTTCTTCCCGGAGTTGACATCGCCACCCCAGCCCGCCGCAGTCGACCCGTCCCTCCAGATCCCATCACAGATGCCCCCGGGAATGGCTTCGCGCCCTAGTCCTATGATGAGCAATCAGCCGCAGCCCGTCTCCGGCCGTAGCATGTCTATCTCCCACGGTAGCCCGCCGATAATGTCAGGACTGCCGGGCGCAATGGGGATGCATCCTAACCCGCCACAGCAGATGTTTGGCATGGAGGGCCAGCATCAGCAAGCCTGGCCACCCATGCACGGTCTCGATGGCACTATGAGTGGAGCCGCGATGGACGCTGCTAGCCAGGACAATGATACCTGGAGTAGTAGTTCTCGTAGCGGGCCGACAGCGCCAACGACGTTGAATGTCGAGGACTGGTACGTCTCCCAAGAACTTGTGCTGTTCACGGTTTTTCTCCTTAAATGATATTCTTTTGCTGACGCGCAACAGGTTCCAATTCTTCGGCATCAACGGCGGTTTCGGGGATCTGGCGGCATAAACAATGGCGATCCGGAGTATGTTACGCTTCATGTTTATGCTGTTACGCACAGTTTTCCTGTCCAAAGTGGACTTGGGGGCTTTGGAGTACAAAGTACACCCCGTGGTCCCTTTAAAGATTCTAATCTAATTTACGCTGGTATATACTGTCATCTTTTGGAGCTTTCCTTTTCTTTTTTTTTCCAGTCTCAAAATGGATTGCTTTTGGAGATAGGGGGTTCGGCCGCGGCGTTGTGGGATTCTTTCGTCTGTCCTGTCTTTACGGACGGTCTGGTTTATGAATATCCTGATGAGGTTGGCAGTCTTTTGTCATTTTCTTGTGTCTTCAATATTCTGTTTTCGTTTTCCTCTGTTTTGGGTCATGTTGGGGAACTTCATGGATTGGCATCCAGTGGGAGTTAGGACGGAGTATATACAAATTCCAATTGCTCGTCTTCTTTATACCCTATTTGTATTATTCTGCTCATCACACCAAGACTAAAATAAGAAAATAAGTGGACTCCTGATCGGCCCTGATGTATTTGACATCACCGGACCGGCGACGCGTCGAGCCGCGTCGGTCGTATTTAAGCCAACCTTTTTCAATTTTATAACTAGACCTTTTCTTTTCGTCTATTCCATTTATTCAATTTAACTGTCTTCCATTATGCCTCCCAAAAGAAAAACAACCGGCTCCGCCGACAGTGGCGCAAAGAAGTCCAAAGGCCCAGCAAGCAAGGCTGAAGTAGACATGGAAACCAAGCGCGCACTGGACAAGCGATGGGCCCCCGTCTCTGTATCTCGAAACGCAGACTCGGAGTTCAAATTGCGAACCCGCGGCCCAGTCAAGGCTTTTTCTTATATTTGTCTGGGCTGTGCGCCTTGGAAGACGGAGAACAAAGATGAGTCTGAGGATGAGGCTGAGGAAGATGAGGAGTTTATAGAGCAGAAGAAGAAAGATGATGCCGTTAGTGACTTACACCAGTCTATCTTGATCTTGTTTGATCTAGATAGCTGATTCTGATGTCAGGAGGCGGACGATGCCACTACCCTCAAACCTGCTTCCGAGCACCCAGGAGAAAAATGGATCTTCACAACCGCCGGAGTGGCTAAATGGGTTGCGCTGAAACGCGGCACTGCCGTGCGCGACCCGGATAACTTCGAAATGCATGTCTACAATGACTTCTTTGGATACGCCGTTATGGAGCTAGTGGAGAACCTCCTCTTGGATTTCGAAGAGGCTGATGGTGACTGGAAGATGCAGTGGGCTATCTGTGAAGCGACCGGGCTGTATTTCCAAATGGATGCTATCATGCCGTTGGTTGGGTTTGTCTCACTGGGCCCAAGTAGAATATTGAGAGTTAACGAAACGCTGACGAGTGCAACATACAGCTGCGATGACGGAGAGACCGTGAATGCGGTGTTTATAGCCTTCGCCACAATGTTCCTTACTATGCTTTCCACCCTGGAACGAAATGACCTGTTCAAGCCCTACTCGGAGGTAAAGAACGTCGGAGCTATCATGGGTCTGTTCATTCGCTTCATTGTTGATGTCGAAGAGTACGGTATCGACTGGGATGACCATGATGCGAAGATCAAGGCTTATGCCACCAAACACAATGTCAAAATTCATGGCTTGAACCACCCCCGCTACGAGGAGTCGTCTGGTGAGACGGTTGAGCTTCCCGAGGCTACAGCTAATGCCAATGATCCCTGGGGCTGGGCAAAGGTATTAACAGAGCTGAAGGAGGCCAATGATGGGTGTCTGGGCGGTGATTCGAAGGACATCACGTCTTGGACTCCTGCGGAACGCAGGAAGGCGGCTTTCGGCAACAAGGATCCCATTCCCGGAGCGCCATGACTCATATTAAGAACGGTGACATTATGGAGATGGGTGGCTGAACGGCTGTGTTGTGTGTATGTTAGGGTCGTTAAGGTCACTAATATTGGAAAAATTATTGCCCATGTACCAATGGTGTCGCTTTTGAGCTTCAATATAGCGTGGTCATCGCTCACTGTATCCGAGGTGGTTAAATGCCCCAAACTCCCAAAGGATCAGACCCCATATCCACCCTTGACTGTTGCAGCTTCTTTACACGTCTGACTAGAGTTCCAACTAAGATCGGACCGATCAATGTGCAGAGCGAGATTGCCCAGATGACCACTAGATAGATCTCAGATGGACCTTCGGAAGATTCGTTGGAGAATATTCCCTGGCTTTCGGCAATTGAAGCAATGAGGTACCCCACTTCGCCTCGGGCAACCATTGCCAATCCCAGGATAGAAGACGGGTACAGGGACTTTGGTTTGGGGGGAAGGGATATGCGGGAATCAGGGCGGAAAGTGGGTACAGGAGATCTGCTCATTGACTGAGACTCATCTTTGACATTATCCGGAGTTGGAACATCCACACTATCATCTCGAGTCGCCGGTCTTTGTGGGGCTTTCTTGTTTTGGTTCGACGTTTTGCTGACGGTCTGGGAACTCGCACAGTAGGAATGAGTGTATGAAAATAGTTTCTTGGCGGTAGAGACTAGACCCGACACAGGGCTCGGAGAGAATCGAACGAGCCATAGGCCTGTGATCATTTTTCCAATCGCCATTAGCATGGCGTAGATAATCCCACGCCATACAACCTGACCTGAGAACATTTTGGTTATGGGGATTGCAAATCCGATGGATGCCTGCTGATGTTAGTACGTCACTTGTCAGATCGAATGGAAAGACTCACAAAGAAAAGAGGGAGAAGGATCCGGTTCACCGGCTCTTTATAATATTGGCTGTAGATGAGTTCGCCTGTAGGTGTATCATCATGGGGTATTTCTGTTTCCTGAGGTTGCACACGCGAAGGTGTCTTTTCGGCTTGCCAGTTCTTGCTATTCTGCGTGCTTCCTTGGTGGTTGGGAGTCGGTTCTTGGGAGTCCTCAGACTGAAAGACAGGAATTGGTATTTTGGCTTCAGCTACCAGCCCATCAAACCAAGAGACAATCACACCAGCAAGGTAGGCAGCAAAGAGACTCGAAGTTCCAGAATACGTTGCACCAGCCACTATCCCAACTAAAACACATGTCTGTGCAAGGAAAGCAAATTGTGCGGTCCCCATAAAGGCTGGGAACTTGTCTTTGCAATCAAGCAATTTCTTCAATCCTGGCTGTAAACAGAATGCACACAGCAATAGTAGACCAACAGCGAACCCGATTGAAACAAAAACAGGTCGAATGACAGTCGTAGCGCTGAACGAGGCGGCACTTCCGCCAAGGTTGGAAATAATTTGAACCATGACTAGACCGACGACATCATCTAGCATTGCAGCACTAGTGGTGACTGTGCCGAGCCTCGTAGTTGTCAACTGCGTGGTCGAGAGAATGGTGAAGGTGGTGCCAAGACTGGTTGCGCTTAAGGCTGCACCGGCAGCGAAGGATTGAAGAGATGTCGCTGACACAAGTTCCTTAAGAATGAATGACAAGCCCATTGGCGCACAGATTCCAGTGATGGCAACGGCTGTCGAAAGAAGGATGTTTGCCTTTAAGGATTTGATTGAGGTTGACAAACCGCCTGTCATTATAAGCAAACACATCTAAGTAGAGAACAAGGTACCCCTTACCTTCGTAAATCAGGAGTATCAGGCCTAAATACCCAAGCTGCTGGATCACTCTTTCTGTCTCTTGGCCGAACCATTGTGCCCCGGGTGTGCCCCACAGGACACCGATGAAGAGTTGGCCGATTAAACCACAGTAGAGGAGCTTGTCCAGGCAGGTATTGACTATATTCAGTGTCAAAAGAAAGCCGGTGTAGTTGAGGACTGTTTTGATTGAAGGTTCGTGATAGGCGAATGCCGCTTCCGATTCCGACACCATGTTTGGTTCCTCTCTGGCTACGGCGTTGAATAGCCTCGAATATCTTTTCTATATTCCAGGTTCTGGGCTTTATAGGGGTATGTGCAATTGGATATATAGCAGAGACGAGTAAAAATGTTGAACCTTGGGAAAGTCCTGGAGCCAAGTGGATGACTAACGAGACTTGGCGGTTTTTCACCAGAGTATACATCGATATATATTGTAAAAGAGCGTTGCATTGCTTCTAATTTACTTTTCAATTGATATACATGTATCTCTTTGCTTGGAATATATAAAAGACCGAAGTGAATTTTGGCTAGGAAGCAACCATGCCTACGCATGTATGTAGACAAGCTATACTCCGTATTAACATTGATATCAACGTTCATAGTCTCCATATCCACAGCTATTAAGGGTTCCCTCCCTAAATGTATATAAAATATCCTATAAATGTGAGATAAAACATAATATAATCAACTATAACCCGCATATAAATCCCAGACTGTCACTCCAGGGCTATCTTGGAATATCAATGTTGACTCACATACTTACTTTCCTAATTGGGACTAGCGGATGACGAGATCGCAATGGCCGTGGCTCGACGAATCAGCGACTTGGAGCTTGTCCGGGGGAAGAAGATGTGAACTGCGGGATTCTGTTTCTTCTGTTTCTTCTGTTTCTGTTTCTTTTTGGATTTTGTTTCTTATTCCCCTTTTCTACACTTCTGGCATATTCGCATCTTTTGTTTGTTTTGAATTAACCTCAATTATTCTCTATACACATACACATACACACATTCTCTCTGCCCCGCTACAGCGATGTCGGCTTCAGGATCCGGAATTCCCAATGCTGCCTCGGGGTCATCCAGCGGTGTAAAAAAGGGTTTCCCTCAGGTTGACCTGTCAGGCAATGACCTTCCTCCTTCCCCTGCCCCATCCAGTCCTCATACCGGTCGCCGGTACAATATCGCCACCGAGCTGGTCTTCACCGAAGGGAGTGACCAATACAATGCCAGCAGTGTTCCTATCTATCAGGTACAGATCCACCCCTGGCGAGAATTGCACATAAATACTGATCATTACTAAATCACATAGAGTGCTACCTTCAAACAAGCCTCCAACGCCGGCGGTGGAGAGTATGACTACACACGGTCCGGTAACCCCACTCGCACACATCTTGAGCGTCACTTGGCCAAGATCATGTCGGCACAGCGCGCCCTGGTGGTGTCCTCCGGTATGGCAGCCTTAGATGTGATTACAAGGCTTCTTCGCCCCGGTGACGAGGTGGTCACTGGGGACGACCTCTACGGCGGCACCAACCGTCTGCTCAAGTACCTCTCGACCAACGGCGGAATTATCGTGCACCACGTCGACACCACACAGCCCGAGAAGGTCCAGGAGGTGCTGAGCTCGAAGACAACCATGGTGCTGCTCGAGACCCCCACCAACCCCCCTGATCAAGATCGTCGATATCGGAAAGATTGCTACTGCCGCCCACGAAGCGAACCCCGCCTGCATTGTCTCTGTGGACAACACTATGATGTCTCCCCTTCTCCTGAACCCGCTAGACTTCGGTGCCGATGTCGTCTACGAGAGTGGCACCAAATACCTCTCCGGCCACCACGACCTGATGGCCGGTGTCATTGCCGTGAACGACCTGCAGCTTGGAGAACGTCTATACTTCCCAATTAACGCGTCGGGATGCGGCCTGTCACCGTTCGACTCTTGGCTGCTGCTGCGTGGCGTGAAGACGTTAAAGGTCCGCATGGAACAGCAGCAGAGCAATACCCAGCGCATCGCCGAGTTCCTTGAGTCGCTTGGCTTCAAGGTGCGATACCCCGGTTTGCGGTCCCACCCACAATATGAACTTCACAATTCCATGGCGCGGGGCGCCGGTGCTGTGCTCTCGTTCGAGACCGGTGACACGGCCATCAGCGAGCGCATTGTGGAGAGCGCCAAGATCTGGGCTATTAGTGTCAGCTTTGGTTGTGTCAACAGTCTGATTAGTATGCCGTGTCGTATGAGTCATGCCAGCATTGACGCCAAGACGCGGGCGGAGCGCGCTTTCCCTGAAGACTTGATCCGGTTGTGTGTCGGTATTGAGGATGTGGATGACCTGATTGACGACTTGCAGCGAGCGGTATGTATTATGTCCCTTGCATAATTTTGGATTTCTGCTAACTTTGCTTTTTAGTTGGTGCAAGCTGGTGCGGTCAATGTCACTATGGAGGGTATTGAAGCTCGCTAGATATGTAGTTAGGATCTTGATATTTGGCGTTGGGGGGGGATTGATTCCAAAATAAGAATAAGAGTATAATGAAGCAAAACCCATACTCCCTTGTATTACTCCATTTCCATATACATAACCAAATGGAACAGCGTTTAGCCGATAAGCTATCGGGCCGGCATCGGAGAGCCGGCGCCGGGTCGCGGCCGGGTCATTCTCGTCCGAAGCTGGGGGAGATGATTGATAGATATAATCTCTCAGATCTCGCATTTGTAATTCATCTTGTCTCATTTGACATCTTGTGTACTCCTTTACTCAATGCATAACCTCTCTCTCCATATCACATGAGCATGAATCGGGATGCTGTTGTGCAAGATACAATATTAACAATGGCGACTGTAAAGCAGGAACGGGGTCAGGAACGTCAAGCACAAGCCCCCAGCAAACGCTCCACGCAGCCAACATGGAATACCAAGGACCTGGGCAAGCGACTCGGTGTCGATGTCGCTAGCGCAGCAACAGCCGGCGTGCTGACCTGCCCATTGATCACCATCATTGATCGGTAAGTGACTATCACGGCTCTGATGTGTTACGAATGTAAGACTAATTCCTCTAGTGCAATTATGGAGAAAGCCTCAAAAGGCTTCCCAATCGGCCAAACAATCAACAACTGCCTCCGATCGATGGTTGCTCGACCCAGCGGCTTCTTCTTCAGCACTCCATTCATCCTCATCTACACCCTATACACCTCGACCTACCTCACAGCGAACGCAATAGATACCCTCAAATCAACAACACACAACGAGCCCTACAATGCCATAGACACAGGCCTCCCCAAGTTCTTCGCAACAACAATAGTGAACATGACGATATGCGTTTACAAAGACGCGCGCTTCGCCAAAATGTTCGGCGCCTCTCCTTCCGAATCTCCAGCTAGAAACAGCACCATAAACACAAACCTAGTCGCGCGGAAGTACAGCTCCGCTCTGCGCGCCCCACTCCCTCCTTCCGCACCCTCAGCACCAACTCTCCAAATACCTAAAGTCTCCTACGGCCTCTTCTGTCTCCGCGACAGTATCACAATCTGGGCTTCTTTCAATATCCCTGCCCTCATCGCACCCTCAGTCCCAGACTTCCTAGCTTCAAGCTCAACCATGAAATCCAGCATCGCGCAGTTTGCCTGTCCCGCTGCTATGCAGTTCGCTAGTACGCCCATGCACCTCCTCGGTTTGGATCTGTATAACCGACAGCCGGCCGGTGGTCTGCGCTGGACGGAACGTGTGGCGCGGATTCGTCGGGACTATGTGCCTAGTTGCTTTGCGCGCATGGGCAAGATTGTTCCTGCGTATGGTGTTGGTGGTGTGGTCAATGTGCGGATGAGGGATTCCTTGATGAAGAGAGTCGAGAGCGGGGAGTGATTTTCTGATTTGATATCAAGGATCAGAGGAAGAAAAGAAAAGATGCTGATCCTTGTGAGAAGCGTGGAAGGTAGGGTTTTGATGGGCTAATGACCTGATGATCTCTTCACATTGTTTTCATTTAATGTTTAGATTCGCATTTCGTGGTTGATCTTTTGATCTCACGTTTCTTTCTCATCTCTCCACTCAGCCTTATGGGACTAATGCTCGGCGTTTTTTGTTTTCCAGGTTTTGGCTTAGCGTTTCATATCCCCAGACTTTGTGTTATATTTGGCCGGTTATTGTTCTGGGTATCTCTTTCTGTACTACTTAGTTACACTTAGATTGCTGTGTATTCACCGGGGATTTAGTACAGACTCGGGCTTTAGACTGGTTTAGAGGGTCTTAGCCGTTAATAGAATAGATTTTCTTTGGATATTGCTCCTTTTTATGAAGTAATTATGTGATTCTCTTAGGAAATAAACACATCGGTAAAGAGCAAAGAAAGAGAGTAAAATCAATCCAGCAGATGATACTCCATATTGAAAAGCACTCACCACCTGTATAGCCAGTTAGTAAACCGCCATTAACATAGCAAGGGAATGGAAGACTCACACGAAAGGCTCAGTATGCAAATACAGCTCCTCAACCTCGCCCCCGAACACCCTAGCCTGCGCCAAAGCGGTTGCATTCCGAGTATCATGCAACATCGAAGCAGGACCACAAACCAAAACGCCAATCCGCTGCTTCTTCTGATATTGCGTCCCTTGGACATGTGCCATGGATACAGTGCGCGCAACCAGACCAGGAATATCAGGCCGAGCATTGCGGTGAACATTCAAACTGAAACTTCCCGTGGTAGTAATCTCAGCCGGCAGTGCCTTGCCAGCGGTGCTCTTAACATCGTCAGACTCCGAAGCTGAGGAAATCCCCGATGTCCGCTGGTCAGTGACGTGCACAGACACCGCAGTCTCGAATGCGTTGCCTGACTTCGCGGATAACATGGTTGATTCAGAGAGCCGTGATTCGATCTCTTCGATGTACCAATCTGCCATAGCGTGGTCGCGCGTCGAGAAGACGACTTGGAGGTTCCGGCGGGACAGTGCTCGTTTCTCGCTTACCGTTGCATTCATGCCTGTCAGCCGGAGCGCTTCGTCTACCATGGCTAGTGAGAACCCGCCTCCCGAGCCGCCAGCTATCACTAAAATCGTGTCGAACTGTGCCATGTGCGGTTCGCTGACGCCGCCGTATGGTCCCTCCATTAAAATCTTCTTCGTGCAGCCTGGATTCTTGGATGCCATTGCTTTAAGGCGTCCGGTCACGCCGCTGCGCGGTTTGATGTAGAATACTAGTTCCGAGGCTTTTCCTATCTCGTCTGGATTGCGACATGCCGAGGAGATGGTGAAGGGATGGGCGGTGAGTAGGTGTAGGTCTGGTGTGAGGAAGCGCACGAATACGTGCTGGCCTGGGGTCCATTTGATGATCGAGGGCACTGCAACGCGGACAAGGCCACTAGGGAGGTGTTCAAGGGTTGCGTTGTGGATGCCGTGCATTAGATAGGTACGGATGTGGCTGGCTATCAGGCTTAGAAAGTAGATCACGCCCGAGGCTATGAAGTAGTCCCTGGTATATGTTAATCCAAGGTCGTCATGAGGCTCATTCGAGTCGGTCATACCAGGAAGAGAGCCGGAAATCGCAGTGAAGGAAGAAAAACACGACAAATACCACCGCCACGAATATGTGCGTGGCTTTGAAGAATTCGTAGAAACGATTGCTGTGGAAGAGTTAAGTGTTTGTCTCTAGGTAGTCAGGCTAAGGGTGATCTTACCGAATAGATGGTAAAGACATGACGGTTAGATATGTCTGCGAAATGAGAGCAGCAACCCCTGTCCAGTAGACGACACTTGTCTTCCACTGATGCATCATATCCCCCTTCCAGATATGGTATATGATAAAAGGGAATGTGTGAACCAAGGCCAACACAAACATCGCATAGCTAGTCCAATGGTGAAATACTTGAAGTTTCTCATGCGGAATACCAGTCACACCAGATATCATGTTGGCTTTCGTGCTCAGTGCCCTAAAAGGAGGTCAGTAACCGAACTTGGTTATCCATATCCAACACTCACAGTACAAATGGAAGCAGTGCAAGAGCTATCCAGCCCGATCGAGTCGCGATCGGAGGACTACTTCCGTAAGAAGCATCTGTCGGCCAGTAATAAGGTTGCGGGCCAAGTGTCATGGCTATATAAGGTCAGTCACCATTCTCGCCACATCTTGACAGGTCCAAACCACCCACCGAAGAAGAAGACATCGCCTACAGCGCCCAGAATCACCACGCCCAACGCCGGAGACCAATATCGCAGCGCAGGCAATCGATATCCACGATAAGACAAGTATCGTGAGGCGGCAGTGAACATGCGCCACGGCCTAGTCCGTTTCACGCTATCTGGAGCGAATCGTACAAGCAAGTTCGAGATCGCGAACACTCCAATCACCGCACACATGAAGTAGACGGTGTTTAATGCGTAAACATGGTCGGCTTGGTACCTAGGACAGATTTTCCGATAAGCACATATACATGTCGGTAACTCGGAAGAAGACGCATACCAGTATCGCCAGTAATAGTTGCGATAGAGACATTGAGCTTCGGTCAATTTGCATTTGTCGGCGCGAGACGAATGAAGCATCACCGGCTGATCGAGCCAGGGCGTGCCATGGGCCATCTTCATGTCCATCATCTTGTGCGACCGAAAAGAAGTGACACCAACACCTACAACGTATGGTCAAGGGAATTCAGATATCATAGAATACATAAGGTATGATCGGCAGGTCTGCAGCAAGTTGTGCTTTTGGATGGTTGCGGAACCGAAAACGGGATATCTCCTTTATTCTCCTTGTACCTGTCGAGGGGCTTTGAATGTACATTCTAGTCATCTCAGTTATCCTGGCCGATCACCCGAGGGTATTTGCTCACAATTGAGCATATTTCATGGAGAGATGGGGTCTGCAGTCATTCAGAGGCTCGTGGTTGGTTGGAATATCACAGGCTAAATGGACTAGAGCACATTTGCGCTTGATACAAATTGGATCTGACATCTGACTTCGTGTTTGGGCTAGTACCCCTCGGAAAATATCATACATCATGCATACAACATTGTATATCTTGCATGTCTTCCGAATATTCCGGGATTCTCTCAAATGCGAGCTTTTCAACGCATGCGGAGCAACTCGAGACTCAGGCCACTGTGGACACAGTGGTCTCTCTTACATGTGGGAAGATGTGGAAAGAAGCCGAAACGATATTCTCATTGAAAGAGTCATAGGGTAGTATGCGCCAAGCAACAAACCTAAACCGATGAAGTAATCGAAAAGAATACCAAGCAAAAAAGAAGAAGGGGGGGAAAGAAAAGAAATCGAGGCATAATATGTCCGCATCGGGACTAGCGCCTCACATGGCAGATCCAACCCTACATTCCGCATTTTCCCAGTCGATTGTGCTATGATCCTGTGTCTCAGGTCCTCTATTCAAGGGGAACAGCCGCGATGGAAACTGTAGCCCCGAGAGGCCCCTTGGTAGTGGAGATCGGGTTCTCACTCCCGATCCCATACATCCTCAGCGCACGGTGGCCTCCACGCACGCTGTCTGCTTCGAGGCCCTTGGCCCGAAGAACGCTGGTGGCCACACGTGCTGAATCACCGTCGTAGCATACCACTAGAACGTGATGCCGCCCCAGATCTGAGACCAAGACGTCATCCTTGAAGATCTTCTCCAGCTCCACCCATTGCGCCTCCAGAACACCTGGATCCGAAAACGGTGACGGACTGTGAGGCCCAACACTAGACAACGGCAGGTTCACCGAGCCGGGGAGGTGCCACGCGTGGAAATCATCTTGTTGGCGCAGGTCCAAAACGCGGTTCTGCGGCTTGAGGACAATCTCGCTCAATGGGCTTTGCGCAAGGGATCGCGGTGATCCATAAAATTGGGGTAAAACCTCCAATGCATCCCGCTCCCAGCTCTCGTCATACCGGTGCAGGTCAACTTTCTTCAGGTGCTAGTAAATAGTAGATATGTTAGCTTTTTTTTATTTCCTGCGCACTCGTTAAATGCTAGCACGTCATGGAGGTGGTATTTACCTCGTTTCGGATTGGGTGGAATTGCTGCTCGCCCAGCTTTTGGAAGTACTCGTCAATGTACTGGTATGGTAGGTCACAGCAGAGGAACACGCAATGGGTTGTGCCGTCTGGCCCTGCGAGCTCAGATAGGGTTCCCGCAGCCTTGCGCTTTGCGAGCATCTGGAAGAGTCCTTGGAGGTTGAACCCGGATGATGGGCCACAGACCAAACCTTCCCGGCATAGGTTCAGAGAGAGTGTGTATGACTCGGATGATCCAACTTCTTCAATGGTATCCACGGCTGCTTTCCAGGGGAACTCAACAGGGCGCATTAGAGCATATGACCTGGGGCCAGGTACTCGGTCACCAGGGGCTGTGCAAACACCAAGTCGGAAAACAGAGGGCTTCACGTCTTTGAAATAGGTCCCCAGTCCGGTCATGGTACCAGATGTGCCCATACCAGCGCAGAGAACGTTTATTTCAGGCAGCTGCTTGAAGATCTGTGGTCCGGTCCACCGGATATGGGACTGCCAGTTGTTGTTGTTTTCGTATTGGTTGGGATTGACAATCGTCTCTGACTCCAGGGCCATTCTTCGGGCATTTTGAATGCCGCCTCGTTTCGTCTAATGGCTCTGGCTGAGATGGTCCACCGAACAAGGTGATGTCAAGACCGAAGAATTGCATCAGCTTCAGTTTTGCATCGCTGGTTTTGTTGCTCAGGAAAGCCCGGGTGTCGTTTACTCCGTGCATGACTCGGGCAACCATGGACATCGAAATGACTGTCGATCCGGAGCTGTATTCGATGATCCGGTCTGTCTTGTTGGGCACAACACTAGATTCGAGCATGTTCAATGCTGGTCTCGCGTTAGCTTGCAATTGAGGCATATTGTTCACTCAGGGCTTGTCATACCTGGCATTGCCTTGACATTGTTTGCCGGATGCATGGTCATCATTTTGGCATAGATCCGCACCCCATCTTGATGATAAGGGTTCAAATGAGGTGGCAGCTCTACAAGGGGCAGAGGAGGCTGACAGTCCGGGTCGAAGTATTTCTTCAGCGAGTCAGTACCGAAGTATACATTGCGCTCGTTTACATTGGTCATTTCCTCGGAAGAATTGATCATGTTGAGACGCTCTTAGTGCAAGATATAGATGCTGATAATCGAGTAGCAGACAATCTCTACTTCACGAGTTTGAAGAGCAACCGTTTTGAGTGATGAAAACAAGTGAGGGAAGAAAATCCCGGGCCACATTCAACAATTATACAGATTAAATTTCTATAGCGTCCATCACTTGCCCCTCCATCCTGTTGCGTCTTTCTTGGCGTCCGAGAGGTAGGGAAGTCAGATCTACTTTTACTCCACTGGTGAGTCTCCCACTACTCCGTATACGACTCAATATAAGGGTTAAGCGCCATAAGTGGACGCTGCAAGCCCTAGAAACTTGTTACTACGATGAACAAGGAAATCGCGTGGAGCGATCTCGGGAGTATCAACACGGTCCAAGCGTAGATCAGACCCTGCAAGGTAAGCCTCTTTGTCACAGGAACTGGATATAGAACGGTTGAAAACGGAATGATTCTTATTGCAGATGCGTCATGGTCTGGTATTCTTGATGTCGTACCTTGCAATGTTCTAGAATCGAATTTCTCATGTGTCACGTAGTTTGACAAGGTACTCAGGAATGGATTCAATCATCCCACAGGTCCTCACTTGCAATTCCCTATTAGCTGAAGATGTTCCTCTCTCCCGATGTATATTGAAAAGGGGCGGGTACCTTGAGGGTGTTTGAGAAGTTTTGCCAACTTTGCGCAGATCTTCTGTCAAGGTGCTCAGACTAAATGCCGATCAATACATGACAAATTACTAGTGTGAATAGATGAGATTGATTATTCCGTTTTGGTCTCTTGACTTGCTTCTTTTTTTTCCTTATCTCCCTTTCTCTTTTTGCTGCATTTTTGGATTCTGGGTGTCTGTTTACGTTCTATCCCTTCATATCAACACGCCATGACAGGGGTACTCGAAAATTCAAAACCAACGGAGGGTGTCACGGCTGACAAGAATGGGACTAATGTCACTTTCAACGAGCAAACCAATTATGTGCCTAAGCGCACCATTATCACGGTTAGTATATGCGGTAACAAGCAAATGTGGCCTAGCTAATGACAACTCCCAGATCTTCCTGGCATGTTCCAGCGTTGATCTCCTGGCATTGATGGACCAGACGACACTGGCTGCCAGTTTGTCTATCATAGGAAATGCTTTAGGAGCCAGCGACCAGACCTCCTGGATTTCAGGTGGTTATTTCGTGTGAGTACTCTTTTCTCTTGCAGTCATGATACTACTCAATCAAACTGACATTCGCGGCACAGAACATCAACATGTTTCCAATTACTATACGGAAAGCTATCCGACATCTGGTCTCGCAAGCTTGTGCTTTTCGTTGGCCTAGCCATTTTCTTCGTCGGGTCACTGGCAGCTTCCCTTGCGCAGACGGCGACACAATTGATTGTTTTCCGTGCTTTCACCGGAGTTGGTGGTGGTGGTCTCATGACTGTCGCACAGATGATTGTCAGCGACGTTGTCCCTCTCCGTGAACGAGGCAAATACCAAGGTATTCTAGGTGCCGTGGTTGCTATCGCCAATGGCATTGGTCCTGTCATCGGAGGTGCACTAGCCTCCATTTCGCAAGACTCGTGGCGGTGGATCTTTCGCTTGAACCTACCGCTCACTGCGTTAACCACGTTGGCTGTTTTGTTCTTTATGCCTCTTCGGAAAGTAACTGGGGACTGGAAAGTCAAGCTAAAGGCAATTGATTTCTTTGGTGCGCTTTTGGCTCTCGGGGGAACTTCGGTCTTGCTGCTTGGTTTGACCTGGGGCGGTGGTGAGTATGAATGGAACTCGGCGCACGTTATTGCGACTCTGATTGCTGGGTTCGCAACCTCTGTTGCTTTTGTTGCGTGGCAGTGGAAGGGTGCGTCGACACCACTGGTTCCGATGCATATCTTCCAGGGTAGGATTGTGAATGGCGCATGTTTGACGATGTTCATCAACGGGTGGAACTTTTTGGTGCAAGTTTACTATATTCCCACTTTCTATCAGCTGGTATTTGGATATTCGACGGTAAAAGCGGCTGCAATGCTTCTTCCCATTACCCTCATGCAAAGTATGAATCCTCGTCTTATGGGTTGTGTTGCTGTGCTGACTTCCTTACAGCAATCAGCAGTACAGGCTCCGGTCTTGTTGTGCACTGGGTAGGTCGTTACCGTGAATGCATACTTTTTGGATGGATTATCTGGGCTGTTGGACTTGGTCTTTTCTCGACACTTGATCAGCATTCGGGATTGGGAAAGCAGATTGGATATGGCATTCTGACTGGGGTTGGGGTTGGAAATACTTTGCAGCCGTACGCGATTCCTTATCCTGGTCCAATGAATTATGCTAATTCCCTATAGATCTCTCATTGCCGTTCAAGCCGGTGTCGAAAGACGGGATATGGCTGTGATAACCTCGTTCAGGAAGTGAGTGGCGCCCGTATTGATGCCAGCCAAGTTATGGAGCTAACAATGAGCAGCTTTGTACGAAACCTCGGCGGTACTCTCGGACTTGCCATTGCCGGAACTATCATGTAAGAATTCATTCCAAACCTGTTGGCTTGTCTCTTATTAATCAATGCAGAAATAATATTGTCTCATCGTCCATCTCAGTCCTCAATCTTGACGAATCACAGTCACGCTCTCTTCTCTCAAGCCCGCAGAACTACTTATCAAAGTTGTCTGCAAAGGATGCTGAGCATGTGCGTGATGTGCTGACACCGGCATATCAAAAGGGATTCCGTATAATCTTCATTGTCGGTGCATCCCTTGCAACATTTGCTTTCTTTTTGGCTGTTTGGTTGATGCCACAGGTTGGTTTGAACCGAGTGGACGATCAAGCTTTGAAAGAAGAAGCAAAGAAAAGGCTCAATGGAGAATTGGACGAAGAAAAAAGAGGGAGTTAGATTCGATCGACTTTGAGCTCACAAAAGGACCGGAGCACTTTATGGGGGCATTGGGTCATAAAAAGCATATATAGACTTTGTTTTAATATTTTCTTGGATACCACATCCGCAAATTCACTCGAGACCATGGCTCCACCTCCAACAAAGACTCATTTAAAATCTGGTATGATAACTTCACCAGCCAATGTGTTCACGACTGGGGCCTTGAAAGTTGTCGGACTTATAAACTAGGAGTACGCATATGCAGCCCCGGTTGGATTCCTCTATGCGTTGACATAGTTCTTGCAGGTCCATTTCCATTGATTTGTATATTGCCCGCTTTTCTACTCTCTCTCTATCTTGGCTTCAATAGGATAGGATTAGTATCACAAGTAAAGCAACGCCAGAAACCAAAAGGGGTCGTGGAGCCTAGTCTAATACCAAAGATCACCTGGGCACACCCATAAGGCAATGTAAGGCAGGACCTGGTTACGCGTGTCACTATGGGTGCACCCGCGTTCCTTCCCTTTTTGTCAAGACTCGTCGCCGACCCCAGTACCTTCCTGTCCTTCAGCCACTGGGAAAATATAAATACCCCCTCCTCCCCCCATTTCTCTCTCTTCTTCTTTCTCTTCTTCCTCACACTCCACAGCTTCTGCTTTTCAGCTTCCACCATGGTCTCCATATACCATGAACAATTCACCATAACACCCCCCCTCCATCCCCATCTTACAGAGATAGTTCTAACTTGTCTCTAGAAACCATCCTGATGAATATTTTACTTTATCTTTATTTCATAATTATCACCCTATTCCCCAGAACTTGTACACACGCTAACTTGGCTTTAGACCCCCCTGATGTGATGGTGGTCCAATCCACGGTGACGACAATTCTTGGTCTTTACAACTTGACTGTCACCTTGGCCTTCAACTTGACCTACGACCTTCTTGTTCTTCTTCTTTTTTCTGTCTCGGACTTCTATCTTAACGACCTTTCACTATGACCACAACTACCCACCACCGTGACCACCATCCATCATGGAGACCTTTCACCATACCCGATCATGGCCACTTTCCACTATAGACTAAATATCATCCCTTCAACCCCAAATCAGGGACACGCTAACTTGTTCTAGAAACAACCCTGATGTGACGGTGGTACCATCCGCGGTGACGACAATCCTCTCTGGTCTTCCAACTCTGGTCTTTCATCTTGAACACCACCCATGGTGACAGCTCTTCACTTTTGCTCTTGCATCTTGACCATCATGGCAATTATTACCACCATACATGGTGACGACAATCCACTCTGGTCTTCCCACTCTGGTCTTCCAACTCTGGTCTTCCATCTTGAACACCACCCACGGCGACAGCTCTTCACTCATGCTCTTGCATCTTGACCATCTGACAATCATTACCACCATCCACAGTGACGACCATCCACATTGGCCTTCCACCTTGGCCATTCCTCTTGACCATTATGACAATCATGACCACACAACCCACCGTGACCACCGTCCATCATACGACAACCACCGTACCACGAACCGCTATTCAACATCCGCCGTCCAACATACACCTACACTACGAATCACTTATCGTGACAATAGTTCACCGTCGCGGCCTTCCACTCTTGGCCTTCCACATACCTACCATCTATTATGTCTACCGTCGTCCATCGTGACCGTCGTGCAATCAACCATCGTGACTATCTTCGTCCATCGTGACCAATATCTTTCGATCGACCATCTTGCAATCAACCATCTTCCAATCAACCATTGTGACTATCTTCGTCCATCGTGACCAATATCTTCCAATCGACCACCCTTCCAATCAACCATCTTTCGATCAACCATCTTCCAATCAACCACCTTCCAATCAACCATCTTCCAATCAACCATCTTCCAATCAACCATCTTCCAATCAACCATCTTCCAATCAACCATCTTCCAATCAACCATCTTCCAATCAACCATCTTCCAATCAACCATCTTCCAATCAACCATCTTCCAATCAACCATCTTCCAATCAACCATCTTCCAATCAACCATCTTCCAATCAACCATCTTCCAATCAACCATCTTCCAATCAACCATCTTCCAATCAACCATCTTCCAATCAACCATCTTCCAATCAACCATCTTCCAATCAACCATCTTCCAATCAACTTCTTCCACATTGGAGAACCCATATATCGTGACAACCAACCATCCTGACAACTTTCAAACCACTGTATTTCGATCAAGTTGACAACCTTAACAATGAAGATCTTCCACCCTGGAGACATTCCACCACACCACCATGAAGCATCCATCATCGGCCTTCCACTTTGACAAACATGAGCCTTTCATCATCGGCCTTTGGCCTTCCACCATGACCATAACGAACCATATATCACCCTCTTTTGCCATGTCCACCTTGAACCGTTGACCTGGTTTATGACAGCTGTTCATCAGCTCCATGAACAAAGAAATCTCCAATGACCTCCCTATGGAGTCTGGCCTTCTCATGTTCGACTCTTGCAGTCAAGCCAACAAAAAAAGAAAAGAAAAAGGAACAGCCTTGCGGAGTCTCTTGGTCAACCAAATCCCTAGCAGACCTTGCTATCAATCAAATTCGGTCATCCCGTTGACCCCCAAAAAGCACAGGCAACCCAGCAAAGGAGTGACCTCACAAAGTTTCTTCTTCGGCCAATTTTCCATCCATACCTCAGCGATATCAAATACTTGAGCAAATCCACAGAAAATTCGCATCGGCACAGCAACAGCCAAAGGCGTGGAGGAGTTCTCCTTCTTTGGCAGGTTCACAATCAACAAGCCACTCATATTGAGCATTGCTTCTTCAATTCCGAACATTTGGTCAACGCAACTACTGTTGGGATACGATATCCTGCATATTTCATGGGTGTCTCCAGTGGGGGTCTTCATTGGGGTTCTAGCATGTATTGTCGCTATGGTTTTCAATGTTCTACCTCACTCTCATGTATCCATCTATAGTTTGTTTTGCTGAGCAACACATGCAATGTAAGCCATACTCTCCACTTTAATTCTCTCTCCCTAGGCCTTGATAGATTAGAAGACAATTGCACGAAAAGGCTGTGCATTAAAAAGATGCTAAGGTTCCACGCTACGTTTTGTAGTTAGAAGCCACGCAATAATCAGAAGCAGGGAGTGTCATCAATCATCATATCGTTCGAAGCCCAAGATTCACCGCACGCCAGCCCAGATACTCTTATGTAGAGTATTCGGGAATGAAAACAAAACAAACCCCCCCCAAGCGCCATTACTGCAAAACGAAGCCCAAAAATAAGAATTAAAACAAAACAAGCAAGAAGAAAAGATCATGAGAAAAAAGTGTAGCCGAAAGTACGCATGGGATCATACGTCCTCAACTTCGATCACCCGTTCCACAACCCAGTCCGCAAAAGCCTGACCCTCGAGTCTCCACCGTCCATCAGCCCACACATCACTGAGCCAATAACCCCACAGCCTACTCAAAGATGTAAGCTGCAGATCCCAAATTGAAGCCGTCGCGCGGCGATTCGTAGAGTGGCTATCGGTCCCTGTCGATAAATCATGATTGACATTGCGGAATCCAGCAGCTGAAGTTGGATTGTTGGCACCGGAAGCGCCTTGTCTGATCCGCCATTCACGCTCGGCTTTCTCGCCCGCGCGGCGGGCGACGGCTTCCTCGTCTTCTGCTTGGTAGAGATTGCACTTGGTGCATTCTGTGCAGCGGGACCCAGGGTTGATGCGGAAGTGCTCGCAGAAGTGTTTGTAGCCTTCTGGTTCTTCAAATTCGTCGTCGTCGGACATGTTGCCTGCAACCTGTTCATCGTTAAATGGATCGTCGGCTATATCGCCCGGGCCATCAAAGGCATCTAACCCGCGGGGGGGCACGGGCAGGCGCAGCAGTTCGTATAGGACGACCAAGTGCCTTGCGGCAGAGGTAGCACATGGAGTAGCCACAGACGCAAGTCAGTTTGTTGCACCCCGAGGACTTGACGAATGAGAGGCAGCAGCGGGGACAGGTGCGCTTCACGGCAGCGGTGCGGGCAGCCTCAACGGTAGCGCGCAAGTCCAGGAGTAACGGCTCATGACACACATGTGGATCTCGCCACGATTTCTGGCATGTCATACAGCTAATGCGTGAGCAGGAGGGGTTGGCACAGGCGAATCGTTTTGGTCGGATCTTGAGACGGAGGTTACGAATGGCATTCCCGAAGACCGCTGTTACGGTAGCTGGGTCCCAAAGGAGCAGAATAAAAACAGGGATTACAAGTAAGGGGACAAGGTCAAGGAGGAGAAGGGTCATCAAAATCGTAGGAATAATGCCACCGTCACGACGGAACCGCCAGCGGACACCATGGGATGAAGGGTGGTATACTGGGTCGATTTCAGCATATGAGCAGAATGGACATCTAACAAGCTTCAGCTGGGACTTCATAAGCGCCTCAGAGGAGAGCCGATCTTCGAATTTGCGGTATGTCTCGAAGCCAGCCGTGTCGAGAAGAATTGCCTGCTTGACAATCTCCGGATGAAGACATCCCTCGCACGACCCGACTGATAACGGCGCAAGACATTTCAAAGTAGAGCGCTCCAGATCGACAGACTTGCCCCAACCCTGTCCAAACAACGCTTCGTATACGGTTCTCTGGATGCAGTGGTAGCAAATGACATGAGTATTGGTTGAACATGTCGCGATCTGCTCAAATGTCACGTCGGCGAAACAACACTCGCATTCGTAAAGGGCATTGAGTTCTTGGGCTTCCTTCTCGTTCAACTCTGAAGCAAATCGGAAATCCTTATCACGCTGCTCTTCACGCTTCTGCTGTAACAGGGGGGGCCAACAGCATCTCGTGGAGCTCTGCATCCAGCTCGCTGCACCCGGTTTCCTTCAGAACAGGAACAAGTTCCCCGTCTGCTCGACGATGCCAAGTCAGAAGCGGATGTTCTTCGCGGTCCTTCTTTCGCCTGAAAGACGGGAACATGCTGTTAAATGTCGCGCGCCATGTCCGACGCGACAGATCTCGGAGCGTCGGTCGAGCCCGAGCATAGCTGAAATTCACTTCAGCTAGGACAGCCTCCACTGTACTTTTGTTCAGACTGTTATATTCTCTTGTCATGGCCATCCGCACAGCGGCCTTGTATTCATCGGACCGAAACCGCTCATCGGGAGCGACCAGGCCACCATTGCCAACGTCCTGTCGAGCAAAGCTTCCGGCCCCAGGAGCTGTGTGGGCACTCCCCTCTGCCTCAGTTTCGGTGGTTCTTTCCGGGAGATTCCACCGGCCCGAAACCCATTTCTTCTTGTGCCTGAGTAGCTCCTCCACGCACACTTGTAACCGGCTCTGTCCGTCGAATCGTAGCAGCAGCTCACGAAACACCTCTATCTGTACATCGGGGAAGATTCGAACCAGAGTCTCGAGTGCAGTATTGAGTTCCTCTAGTTCCCGCTTGTGTTCCTCTGTTTTGTGGGCCGAGAGCTGGATGGGGCGGGATCGGGAGGCACTGCCAAAAGGGTTATTTCGTAGCGCTTCGAGGGTGATGGAGTAGCTGTTTGGAGAGGAGCCAGTCTGTCCTAGAGATGGCTTTCCGGCATTGCGACTGGACGAGGAGCTGGTTGAAGAAGCGGAGGATGACTTTCGGTGAGATTGCGTGCCGTCAGCGGGGCGGGATGCGGAGGATCTAGAGAAGGGGACTGGCAGCGACAGCACCATGATTGAGCAGGATTTACATGATTTGGAAATATCAAAAGTGTTGGAGAATGTCAGAAGAGGTCAGAGGGGATATAAGAATGTGTTGAAGCAGCCCTTGGAGCCTAAAGTGAAGAATGAAGGATTGTTACATAATGACCTTCCGCCTTCTCACTGTTCTATATATTCTTCTACAACATACCCAGGTACATCCACACCAGGACATCGCTCCATGACTTTGAATATTCTTTCTACTTCTAATTGGACCCTTCTTCTGAGCTAGATCACATACACAGAGAGAGACTATAGAGCATCTGATTCGATCCCTCAAAGCAATACATATATTGTAATGCTGATATACAACCTACAACATACGATATATCTGAACCAGAAGCCACGTGAACAGCAAGTTGAATCTCAAATATTGCATGCTCATTGCATGCTCCTTACGAATATGGTTTAAAAGAATCATGCAATGTCGAACAATATCACTAAAATAACAAAGGATTTACACATCCTCCGACATGTTATTGAAAAGGCGCTTTCCATAGAATGGCAGCCTAGTCTTGATTCACATCCTCCACTAAACACTGCATCTAACTATCGGATGGCCCGAAAGCATCCTTTATGGCTGTTACGTGGGGGATACAAGTATAATCCATTTTCACGTACGTCGGCATAGATAGATCAGATAAATGCTGGTCCAAACTACTCCAAAAGTGTACATATATGTAGAATTTTCAAATCGGTATGGTTACCAAATTCAGATGAATCTCATTGGCCTCATGGAGAAAACAGAAACCCAAAAAAGCACGGGTACATATGTAGTATATACAAAAAGAAAAAAAAAAGATAAACAGTCTGATCCAGGCTTGCCCATTCGCTTTGCCAATGGGAATATCGCTTCAACCAAAGATTTCATATTTTACAGCTTGGCCTTAGCGCCTTCCAAGAGCTCGGCACCGGCGCCGGTGATGGCAGGCTTGCCAGTCTCAACAACGGTGGCCTGGAAGAGGACGGTGTTGCCCTCCTTCCACATCTCAGTCTTGAGGGTCTGGCCAGGCAGGACAACACCCGCGAAGCGAACCTTCAGGTTCTTGTAGGGACCATACTTGGAGAAGACAGCCTTGGCCGACACACCGAGGGAGCAAAGACCGTGTAGGATAGGCGTCTTGAAGCCGCCGACCTTGCTGAACTCGGGGTCGATGTGGAGCGGGTTGCGGTCACCGTTCAGACGATACAGCGCTGCCTGGTCCTCAGAGGTCTTCTCCTCAACCACGGCATCGGGCTGACGCTGCGGCGCCTTATACGCAGCAGTGGCAGCCTTGGGGCGCACGGCAGTGGGCTTGGGAGAGCCTCCGAAGCCGCCGCTGCCGCGGATGAAGACGCTGGACTCGTTGTAGAACAGATCCTCACCGGTCTTGGCATCCTTGGTTGTGTACCCAGCCACGACGATGGCCGCATTGCCCTTGTCGATAACATCAATGAGCTTGGGATAGGTCAGGGTATTGGCTGTGGTGGGGATTGGGAACTTGCGAACCTCCATGTACTGCTCGCCGTGAAGCAGCATCATGGGGGAGAAGTCCTTCACCAAGTCATCCATGTTCCAGGGAGTAGCGGTGTTGAACCAGGGGACAACACCATACGAGGGAAGAGCCTGGAATTGGTCGTTATTCTCGTAGACCAAAGGCAGGTCGGTGCGCTTGGCACCCAAGCTGAGGTTGTACAGGATGACATCGCGATCCTCGTAGTTGAAGGGAGTGCCTTCGCTCGAAAGGGCCTTGGCCTTCTCAATGTTCTTCAGGGTCTCATTCTCAGTGGAGGCATCGCCGTGCACGCGGTTAGACATGTTAGCCATGATCTTCTCCGTGCCGGCCTGGCCGTCCTCGGGGTGATCAGCGCGACCATCATCGAAGTTGGTGATTTGCTTCCAGTTACGAACCACCTCCTCGGGGGTCAGCTTGACATCCACGGGGAAGCCGTGGCCGCCAGTGCGCTGCCAGCGGGTACGGCCAAACCAACCGCTACCACACTCAAACAGACCCTTGGTGGAAGGCTCAGGGGCCATGTCAGAGCACAGCAAGACCACAAGGGGAGCAACATAGTCAGGCTTGAAAGCCTGGACCATCTCCTCGGGCATAATGGTACGGGTCATGTTGGTACCCGCATTAGGAGCGATGGTGTTGACCTTAATGTTGTACTTGGCACCCTCCAAAGCCAGAGTGCGGGAAAGACCCAGGATGCCAAGCTTGGCAGCAGCATAGTTGGCCTGGCCGAAGTTGCCGTAGATACCGCTGGTACTGGCAGTGTTGACAACACGACCGTACTTCTGCTTGAGGAAGTAGGGCCAAGCGGCCTTGGTCACCTTGTAGGTACCACGGAGGTGGACATTAACAACGGAGTTCCACAAGTTGTCATCCATGTTGGTGAAAGCCTTGTCGCGCAGGATACCAGCGTTGTTCACCAAGATATCAATACGGCCGAAGGCATCAATGGCGCTCTTGACGACGGCGTCGCCGTCCTCGCAGCTGGCCTTGTTGCCAACAGCCTTACCACCGAGCTTCTTGATTTCCTGGACCACAGGCTCAGGGTCAACAAGATCGTTGACCACAACGGAGGCACCGAGCTTAGCAAATTGCAAGCAGTATGCGCGGCCGAGACCGGCACCACCTCCAGTGACCAGGGCAACACGACCCTTGAAATCAGGCTCCTCTCCAGGCTGGGCGCTGGGCGTCTTCAGGCCGTCTTCCAAGAAGGCCATGAAGTCGGCAGGGCCCGTGGGGTATTCAGGCTGAGAGAAATCATTGACATCGTTCCACTTCCGAGCGATAGCACCAGGGGTCAGGGAGTCATCGGTCTTCAGGAGAGCACCCTTAGCTCGCTCCCAGCGGAGCTTGGCAACGTGACCACCACCGACCTCGTAGATACCACCGGTCTCTGTAGTGTTAGATGAGTGCACGAGGGCAGCGACCAAAGGAACCACCCAGTCGGGCTTAAGGTTCTCCAGGACATCAGGGGGCATGACAGTTGCAGTCATGCGGCTGGCAGCTAATTTGGGGTTAGCTTCCTCATCTTATGCGGAGGTTTGCGGCTTGCTTACCAATGGGAGCAATAACATTGGCAATAATGTTGTACTTGGCACCCTCTTTAGCCAGGGTCTCGGTGAAACCGACCTGGCCGAGCTTGGCGGCTGAGTAGTTGGCCTGGCCGAAGCTGCCAAATAGACCAGCAGCCGATGCAGTGTTAATAACACGGCCGAACTTTTGTTTACGGAAGTGAGGCCACGCGGCTCTTGCGCACTATCCAGATAATGTGCCATCAGTTACTGCTTCAAAGGATTGTTTTTATGTGTCCGAGGATTCTCACCTTGTATGCACCGTAGGTGTGAACTCTGTTGATCAAATCCCAGTCGGCATCCTTCATATTCTTGAAGCTAATATCCCGCAGGATACCAGCATTATTAAGCAGAATGTCAATGCGGCCAAAGGCCTTAATAGCGGTCTCGATGATAGCATCACCGTTCTCGACGCTGTCGTAGTTGGCGACGGCCTTACCGCCAGCGGCGCGGATCTCCTCAACGACAACATCTGCGGCCTGGGGTAGCTGTCAGTGTCGGTCTATCTGGTTCGGAGGCGTTCGACATACCTTTCCTGACTTGCCCTCACCCTTGTGAGAGACACCGAGGTCGTTCACAACGACATTTGCACCCCTTGAGGCGAAGAAGAGAGCATATGCCTTCCCCAGGCCACCACCGGCACCGGTGACGACCACCGTTTGGTTATCGAATCGCAACTCGGACATTCTGTGTATATGATCCGAAAGTTAAGTAATAGAAAGAAATAAAAGAAGAAAGCTGGAGAAGAGGGGAGTTTAAAGCAACTCGGCAAGCTGAGGACCTCGGCACGTTTGGGTTGGTTTCGTAACGGTGAAATATTGGGGTATCGTTACAATGGCAGATCGACCCGGATCACATGCCGTACTCCATAGTCCGTACATGTATATAGTAGTACGTCTAGTTGATTTTCAAGCATTTGGTATCAGTTTTAATAAATAAGTATAATAGACTATTACTTTATGCATGAGACATAAGTATGTACGCCATACAAAAATGTACAATGTGCAATATTATACAATATCTAGGAGCCGAGTACTTGCTGACTCAGGCATGTGACGGGTAACGTCATTGTCATGTGCACTTCTATGTACACCTTTTTGTATGTTTTTCTGCTCTTTTTTACTATTTTACTTATTTCACTACTTTGTCACTCGATTCAATGCACTTCTATATAAAACTCTTAATATGTCAAAAAGCAGCGGCTGGATATACCCCGTGGGGGGATGACCCCAGATTCACTCGGCCGATTGGGGGGAAACTTCCCGCACACCGTAGCCGATAGATACAAAAGACGTGCAATAGAAAACTACAAGTATTCGGTAGTTAAAATCCAAAATGCCTGAAATCGTGGACGACAAGTCGCAGCACTGTATCCCCTTCCTACTAGATCGCCTGCGCGTTCATACCGAGCGGCACCGCGGCAACCCAAGTACCCCGCCGTTTTTCATCGGCCTCAATGGCGTGCAGGGTGCGGGCAAGACAGTCCTGGTAAGTAGATCCAGAGCTGGTCGATTTCCCATGCCTCGGGATCTCGTTCATTTTCTCGGACCGGATTCTAATACTAATTTCCATAGGTATCCGCTCTCAATGATACCCTCCGCTCGGAACCATACTCGCTCTCGGTCGTGACGTTGTCGCTCGACGATATCTACCTTGACCACGCCAATCAGGTGGCTCTGGCACAAGCGCATCCATCAAACCCCCTCCTGCAGCATCGTGGTCAGCCTTCAACTCACGACCTCGCATTGGGTGAGGAAGTGTTTGCTTCGCTCGCTGCTGAACGTCCGACAGCCATTCCACAGTATGACAAGTCTGCGTTCGAGGGCCAGGGTGACCGTGTGCCAAAGACACATTGGAACGTCGTCAATGAAGCGGGTCAGGAGAAAGTGAAGGTCGTGATTTTCGAAGGGTGGTGTGTCGGATTTCGTGCGTGGGATGAGCAAACCCTGCGTGCGAAATGGGAGGCCGCTGTGCATCAAAAGGAGAACGGCAAATATGATGGACGACTAGGCCACGTCAAGTTTGAGGATGTCAAAGCTGTAAACGACGCTTTGAAGCGATATGATGTCTTGACTGAGTGGGTTTCCTCGGCCATTGGAGACTGCGCAACTAGAAGCTTTGCTAACATAGGTTTCCTTTCCCTTCGCAGCAAGCTTGATGCTTTGATCCATATGTATGAGCTCTTTTACCACTTGACATATTTCCTTTCGCTAACTGATTTCAGCGATGCCGAAAACCCTCGTTTCGTCTACGAATGGCGCCAGGAACAGGAACGCACGCTCCGTGCTGCCAAAGGCGCTGGAATGACCGAAGAACAGGTCAACCACTTTGTGGACGGATGTATGCATATACTTGGGAGAGCAACAATACCATTAACGGCAGAATGTACTGACTCAAATGATCGATAGATTACCCATCCTACGAGCTCTTCACTGAAACCCTCCGCGAAGGCGCTTTCAAGCCTACGCCACATAACCCATCAGTATCGAACCCAGACTGGCAAGGACGGCAACTCCGCCTTGTGGTTAATCGTGATAGGAGAGTTCAAAAGGTCATTAGAATATAATATATGTGAGATGATGTAGAAATGTTGAAACTCTTGAGCCTTCATCGATCTCTGCAGTAAGAGTTTATATGAACAAACATGTACCCTTCTCCCACCAATCAGCTCGCATGGCTTAGTGGTAAAGCGCATGACTAGTAATCATGAGATCCTCGGTTCGACTCCGAGTGTGAGCATTTTTTTTTTATCCTTGCAGATAGATATCGAATGGATATATATCGCGCAAAAGTTGGATGGAATTGTACTTCTGGTCTGGTCGGTATTGGTGGTTGTGCGTGGAAATTCTCGGAGGAATTCAGGGGGTAAACCTGATAGGATTCATAAAAAAGAAAGAAAGAAGCATATGATGGAGGCACATGTGAATTGACAACCCACTTCTAAAACAAAGCACTATAAACTACTAAAGCTAACTTACTGTCTTACTACTACGGGGTACAATAGAGCTTTAGATTTGACACTGGAGTAAATCGTGAAAGTGCGGCCTTAAAATCAAAGCTTCGGAATCAGCCGACAGGGTAACTGAGGTCAACATGAGATTCGGACCTCGGGACGGTCTTCGGCATAAAAGCCGACTTTAGTTCGCAGAACTCCGTAAAATGTTGTAACTAAAGACAGCCCAGGTCGGAATACAATTGATTATTCGCTACAATTACGAGACAAAGTACGACAGGAAACCAGGCCCATGACCATGCAATTGGGTTGTTTGAAGCATTAAATTGATCGGAAATCCCAGACCATCGTATCGCTAAAAATTGACTAGTGGATATAAACAGCCCGTGCAAAAAACAACCCAAGAGAGTAAAGTCGTAACATTTTGTAACATTTTTGGAGCTGCGCTCAGAGAACGCTGCAACCCGAAGTCCTCACGCGAAGGAATCTAGTTCATCTGGCGGATGAGAGCGTTGATGTTCTCCTCACGGTTACCGGTGTCACCACCCTCGATGTAGTGCTTGAACTTGCGAGTGCGGAAACCGCCGGTAGGGTTGGACAGCTTGAAGGGCCACAGGAAGTTGTTGGCCTGCTTGAAGTTGGGGCCAACGGTGTAGATCTCGTGGATCAGATCCTCCATGCAGACAATGCCGAACTTGCCGAGGTGCTCCTCGATGATCTGGTTGTCGGTGAGGGGAGTGCGCTGCTTGTCGACCTTTCCGTAACCACGCTTGTACAGAAGCTCGCGGACGGACTTCAGGTTGGGGTAACCGTAGGCAATGTAGGGGTTGACGATGGTCAACATCTCCTGAGTAGCCTTGGTGAGGCGAATGAAAGTACCAGAGTTGATCTGGAGCAGACGCAGAAGCTGGAGGATCTTGCGGGGCTTGGGAGCAATCTTGTTGATACCCTTGATACGGACAACGAAGACGAGCTTGGGCTCACCCTCAACGAAGAAGCTGCCCTCCTGGCGAGCAACGCGGTTGAGGCGGATCTTCTCGCGCTCAGCGGTGCGGTACTCCTGGACGTAAGACTCGGCACGCTTGAAGATAACTCCACGCTTCTCCTTGTTGGCCTATATGAATCTCAGTCAGCATGAGAGTCCTCCAAAGTCCTGTGAAGAAAATGGCAAGTAGTTTGTGTAACTAATGTCAGACCCGAAAGATGGTTGACAGACGACAGCATTGACCGTGGTAGCGGTCTAGTCATCGTGAATGGTGTTATGCATCATGTAGTTGGGAAGGAAGTGTATAAATGTGGGATGGAGGAAGACTGACCTTCTTGGTCTTCTCGGCCTCGGCACGGCGCTCAGCGCGGGCAGCCTCTTGGGACTTGCGCTTCTTCAGAAGGGTCTCGGGAACGAGGACCTGGTTCTGGGTGGGAACGGAGCTGTGCAATGTTAGAACAGTCTGTCCAGGAGAGATCAAGACTGAGACAATTCGCCGAGTGAAAGAATTGCAGCATATAGCGCCACATTCTCAACTGAAGGCATACAAGAACTCGACGAAATGTCTTTGATCAGTGAGGGCCAAGGCACTGGAGTTTCATGATCGATTATGGTTTGGTACTAGCCATGCATATTCCAGCATAGTGTTCGCAAGCCCGATCACCCGCAAGATGCCATTGATGCCTTCATCCGACAAAACCCCGAACAATGTTCAGGAAATATGTTGACACTCGTTCGCTCCAGGATCACAATGCTGTTACCACATCATGAGCGCCCGAGAACGATAGTTCACAACAATATTTTTGGAGGAGAAGGCGCCAAGCGCTTTCAACCTCAAGACTCCATCACCCTTTTTTCGTATCCAAATTTTGCTCCGTGATAGACAGGAAGTGTATCCGAGATATTTGGAATCGAGGTAGAGGGCAGGAAGGATCGAGCTGGTGCCTACCCGTCATCGTTGTGGACAACGGCTGGCATCCCCAGCGAGAAGGACGACTATACCCGCAACCTTACAAACTCAAGCAGAGATTGCATCAGTTCAAGGAAGAAGTCATTGGGAATCATACGTAGTAGCGGCCATTTTGAAGGTCCGGACGAGGTCGAGAGTCGGCTGGTTGTCGAAGGATGTCAAAGGAAGAAGGAAAGTTCGAAGAAAAGGAATGTAAGAAGAGACTTCGCTTGTGCGGGTGTGGGTCATCTAGCCATATGTGGCTAGCCTATTAATTATCTAACGCTAACCTGTTGTGGATCCAACCCTTATCGGTCTTGAGATAAGGGTTTACCTCTTATCAGATGACTTCATGGCTGGCCCGCCTACCTAGGTAGGTAAGTACAACTACACGTAACTAGGACTATCAAGTGAACCAGACCCCCTTTACACTCATACAATATGTCTCGTCGCGGAGTTGGCCTCGGGGCCTTTGCGAACCGAACGCAGGCGACGCAATCTTATGCTACTCATGGCGCCAATCTCCGCTCTACCCATACTGCCTCCCTGCAGACCCAGTTGTCGGTTTTCCAGTCGTTGCTCCACACATTTGCGCTAGAACATAGCTCTACGATCAAGTCCAACCCGACATTCCGAGCAGAGTTTGCGCGCATGTGCAACACCATTGGGGTCGATCCCCTTGCCGCAAGCAACGTCAAGGGCAAGAATGGCCGTCGCGGACTGGGAGAGGGGGGCAGCTTCTGGACCCAAATTATGGGAGGGGATATGAATGACTTTTACTTTGAAGTCGCGGTTAGGGTTGTGGAGTTATGCAGAGAGACCAGGAGCGAAAATGGTGGGCTGATTGGTGTTGAGGAGTGTCGGAAGCGAGTGGGGAAGGGCAAGGCGATCGGGAGTGGGCTCGAGGTTTCAGAGTATGGAGTTATTCCTTCAGGAAATACGGATATCTATACAAGTGGCTAACTGAAATATGTGCTTGACAGTGACGACATCCTACGAGCAGTTCGGTCTCTCGAGCCCCTTGGCTCCGGATTCTCCATCGTCAAGGTCGGCAGCAAGCAGTATATTCGGTCCATCCCCAAAGAACTCAACACCGACCAGGCAACAGTCTTGGAAGTGATTCAGGTGCTGGGCTTTGTGAGCATTTCAATGTTGCGGTTGAACCTCAAATGGGAAAAAGCTCGAGCACAAACTGTAATCGATGACCTGCTTGCTGATGGTCTAGTGTGGTTGGATGCCCAGGGCCCCAAGAAAGAGTACTGGTCACCGCAGAATCTCCTGCAGGACAGTGGATGAAGCAAGGTAGCTCATATGATCCGCATAAGAATTGCGCGGTCATAATGCCTCGTGCGGTTATCCCTCTAGCCACACCTTTATGGTAGAATCCCAAGTCATACGTATGTGACTCTCGGGCTTTTGCCTGTCCAAACATTAAGGACACATTCAACAGTCGGCGCTTTGAGAGGGGCAACACTCGCCTTTCGCTTTCGGGCCCATGGGTCTAACCACGACGAGCTACAGTTTGTTCAATACTATTATCTGGGGCGTTTGTCTACAGACATTGAAACTACAGAAAGAGGTCATCCAATTCAGATGGACAGATTCGATCTGGAGTGATGGGCGAGCAAGGACTATTGGCAAGGATCTAAGTACAAGCGATTGTACAATAGAAATTACCAAGAGAGGTAAACCCTTAAGGATTCATTTCTTTTTTACAAATCACGGTGCTACCTTCGATATCCATAACGAGCCGTGACGACATATTCTATTTGTTTGACGAATCTGAAGAATCTGGAGTTTATGAATCTTATTTTTGGGTGTTTGGGCGACACGGCATTGCGTGATATGGAGTGACAAGCATGTAATGTATCCCCCCGCAAAGGAACCGTTCATATATAAGTTGTCTCATATCCCACCCATGAAAAAGAATAGTCTATTGATTTCAATATAATTTGAACTGATCAGGTATACTGCATGTACCCTGCCATCATGTCCCAATCTAGTGTTCCAGCGACAGACCCCGCTATCTACGCTGAGTATGAAACCAGATGGTCCAATCTCCCGGACACCGAAGAAGCATGGATTGCTAGAGCCCGGGAGGTCTCCGAGGTGCTAGCCAAGGATGCGGCACAAAGAGACCAGGAGAACAAATCACCGCGCGCTGAAGTGGCCTTGCTCAAGCATTCGGGCTTGACAAAGCTTCTAGGACCGAAGAAGTATGGTGGTGGCGACCAATCTTGGAATGTTGGATATAGGGCAATAAGAGAGGTTGCAAAGACAGATGGGTATGACTTCAGTCTTCAGTATTCTTCATGGCTCCCAAGGATAGTCTCTAACCAGAAGACAGGTCTATCGGTATGCTGCTTGGCTATCATCTTCTCTGGTCTACTATTGCGAATGTGATGGGCACCCCCGAACAAGCCGACCGAACCAATCAGTTGATTATTTCGAACAACTACTTTGTCGGAGGCGCCGTGAACCCCCGCGACAATGATCTGAAGATCACTCCAGATGGAGACCATATCGTATTCACCGGTAACAAGCACTTCAACACTGGAGGCGTTGTGTCCGACCTCACAGTCCTCGAAGGAATATTGGATGGCACTCAGGATCACATCTTTGCTTTGGTCGAGACCCAACAGCCCGGTATCCAGTTTGCTCATAACTGGCACAATATTGGGTTACGCCTGACCGAGTCGGGAAGCGTGAAGATAGAGAATGTCCGTGCTTCTTGGTCAGATGCACTGGGCTGGGATGCAGCCACGAAGAAGCCTCGCGATGACACTCTGAAGATCGCATTCCCCACTCTATTCCTGCCAACGTAAGTGGACTCTGTGCCATTCCATATGTCATGTTCCCCCCAGCGGTTTCATGGCTCAGTGCTTACTCGCCTTTTCCCATAGTATCCAACTGGTCTTCAGCAATTTCTACTTGGGCATTGCTCTTGGTGCTTTGAATTTCGCCTCCAGATACACTACGACCGCAACACGTGCTTGGCCTTTCGGCGGCGATAACAAGGAATCAGCGACGGATGAGTTCTACATCCTCGAACGCTATGGCAACTTCTTTGCGCATCTGCGTGCAACAGAAGCCCTTGCTGATCGAGCAGGGGATCGACTTTCGGGGCTGTATACTCGATATCAAGCGCAGAAATCTGGTCTCACGGCCCAGGAACGTGGAGAGGTTGCGGAATGGGTGGCTAGTATCAAGGTGGTCGCCACAGATGTCGGACTCAGAGTTACTTCTGGTGTATTTGAAGTGACTGGAGCCCGGGCCACTGCCTCAAAAGTTGGATTGGATCGGTTCTGGCGGGATATTCGAGTGCATACTCTTCATGATCCCGTGGCGTACAAGAATCGGGAATTGGGACGGTATGCACTACTGCATGAAGTACCTGAGCCTAGTTGGTACACTTAAGTGCTATAGAGTAGCATGAAATGCATTTCAATGCATGTCAATATGAATCTGAATACATGCAGGGTCAAACTGCACAACATACATCCATGCACATATTATACTACTATATGTATGCACATAACAAGGGTCTAACAGATAAGAGCCCCGCACACACTCCTGCGGGCCGATGAGCTTTCGGTCCGATAATTTTTTTTCCCTCTCATTTTTTCCCACTCCGTTTTCCCCTCTCTGTGGGAAAATATTCGTTCAGCTGCGAATACTTCACTTCTTGATACTTGATTTTTATTGGACTGTCATTTATCATCTTCGTGTCTCTCCAGTTTTAGAATTGTCCTAACAATCGCCAATATGCCGGAAGACCAGAAGCACTATGCCACTTACAATGATGTAAGAATCCCAATCTATTGACCGGACATTATCTTGTTGTGTCAATCGAAAAAAGGTGTTGAAGACGTCGAAGACACATGAACATCATCAAGATCTCCCTCCACCCCGCAAAAATGGAGATTGTCTTATCGCAGTCCACTATTATAATTCCCCCGAACTCTAAAAGGTCCAAGACTAACGCAAATATCCTCGACAGGTCCACGAGCTTTGCAAGGAATCGGCGAAAGAGCTCAATAGCTGGGGAATCAACCTTATAATCGCCATCGGCGGTGGTGGTTATATCCCTGCCCGCATCCTCCGGTACGTTCAATCCACACGTGCCTCTTCATCTCGACTGTACTGATCCCTGCTCGCCAAACAGGTCCTTCATGAAGAAGAAGGATGGGAGTAATATCCCCATCCAGGCCATCGGTCTGTCCCTCTACGAGCGCTTGGCCGCAAATAGCGTTGAGGAGGTCCCCGGTACCGAGGTCAAGCGTTTGCAATGGCTCGACGTGAACTCCTCGATGGTCAACTTGATCGGCAAGAACGTTCTTATCGTTGACGAGGTCGACGATACCCGCACAACCCTACAATACGCCGTGAAGGAGCTCGAGAGTGATGTTAAAGTAGCCCAAAAGCAGCTCCCTGCCGATAGCCCCTTGAAGGGCGAGGAAACTAAATTCCATGTCTTCGTTCTGCACGTATGTGTCTTTATCTATCTGCAGGCTGATCGGTTTGGCTGACAACTGGAACAGAACAAGATAAAGAAGAAGAAGGGTACACTGCCCGGTATCGCGTGGAACCCCAAGCGTTACCACGCCGCGGTCACCACTGGAGATGTGTGGATCTGCTACCCTTGGGAGGCTGAGTATGTTATAACTCGAAATTGCTATTTGGATTGTGACTGATTTGTTTTCTTTTCCCTTTCTTTCTGCAGGGACATCGAAGACCACGATAAGCTCGCTAAGAAAAACCCTATCGTCGCTCTTCCGGCCGAGACGGAGGAAATCACCGAAGAACCCTCGCCCAAAGTCGATTAAGCGAATGACTACGTTATCATAAGCATTCCCTTTTACGCGGCGCTCTGATGGTTTATATGGATGACTCTTTTGGTCCTTATTTTACTGTCCATGCTCAGACCAAGTGCATAAACCTGAGCATGTATTCTCTACGATATCCTTGATGAATTTCTATAGAAAAAGTTCTTTCTTTTTTGGCAGGCTGTGCCCCGAAGGCTTTTTGACTCGAGACTGGTCTTGCACTCGATTTTCCATTTTTTCTGAACCAAAATTCCCAGTAATAACCGGTAGTCTTGTTGTAGACACCGACGGGAAACCTGGGCCTGGGGTCGTCAAACATTGATTTGCAGACATTGGATTGTAGACGGGTATCAAGAGAATA